TGTTTATTTTGCTAGAGACCACAGGCACTAGCCAGAGAGACAGAGAGGGAAAGGAGAAAGCAAGCTGCCAGGCCCCGAACTCAAACTATCGTCAGTAATGTGGGAGTCCAATGCCTTAAACACCATGCCACATTGTTCTGTTAGGCTACATTGCCAAGGGTTTTTGTTTTGTTTTGTTTTAACTTTAACAGTAATCTTGTTCCTTTGGACATTATCATCCCAAGTAGATACTTATAAATAATAACAGTAATAGGCCCAGTCTGGTGGTGTAGTTAGTAGCACACCAAACCACAATGCTGGAAGCCTTACGGTGTTTGGATCCCAGGTGGGCTTGAAAACATGCTGACCGTGCTTATGCCCAAGATCCTAAGGAGCTAGAAATATGGGAAGAGGGGATCATGGTACCATGAGACCCTGTCGAGGCTGCTTCTCTCTCTCTTCCTCTGTCTATGTCTCTGTCTCTCTCTCATGCATGTGCATATGCTCTCTTGTAAAGAAAAATAGTTTTTAAAAAGCATAATGATTAATTTCATTAATTCTAAATGCTACTGCTTGTGGAAGGCACCATGTTTTATGGCCATTAAGAAAGAAAAAACCCTGCCAGTTATACTATGATATGCTACTGAATATAAGTAAAATATATATATCAATTTCAGAAATGTTAAAATGGAGAGAGTACATCTTAAAATCAGTGAAGTAGCAGAATATAATCTATTGAGTCCTCTTGATATATGATGACATTTCTTGAACAAACTGTCACGTAGCCAGTGGAGTAAGAGCCTAAGCAGTGGAGCGCAGATCTTTATACTGACTCACTTAAACAATGAACCAAATGACAGTTACTCCATCATTCTGGCAGGTCATCAAGTGTTCACTGTCTGCAGACTGCTTCATATGCTAAAATCATTCATTCCTCTGGGTTCTTTGCAGGAGCAGCAGACCTAGGACACTGCAGCCACACCTTCTCCTCACCCTGCATCCCCTCTTTAAAAAGTTCACATTTTACACACTGTAGTGATGTACAGTGATTGAATATATAAAATAATTTTTAAAAAGAAAAAGAAAAGAAGCTCATCAGTTGTCTTTATCATCTCATTTTCTTCTGTTCTAGCTCCAGTCTCCAAGGTTCTGCTTCCCATAGTGTTGTGTTCGATTTCACGTTTGCTTTATTCTGTTTCAGGTACGGAATGAACCCCGGAACGTTTCCATTTCAGCAGAATACATTGCCCAGGTGAAAGGGATCTCAGTGGAAGAAGTTATAGAAGTGACAACACAGAATGCATTGAAACTGTTTCCCAAGCTTCGACACCTACTCCAGAAGTAGCTTCAAAACCATCCATTGCCAAAGCAAATGAACTGCAGGGGGCAGCATTTCAGAAGTCGTGTCCAGATTAAAGAATCTTAACTGAGGAAGACATTTACTAGGGATATAGAAGAAGATTATTTTAGAGTGATTTTTCTCTTAGAAATAAAACTGGTCCTGGATCCTAACACCCGGGTTCTGATTCGAGCCTTGTGCTGCTTTCCAGTTAGCCAAGACCTGGCAGGAGTCGAAAACACCACTGGTTCTTGCCTTGCGCCATTAAATAGAACTGCCATTGAAAGTAGCCATTGCCGTGGGAAGGGCTGCTCCTGCAGGGAGTGTGTAGTTACTATTGTGATGACAGTGGGAGAAGTCTCCAGTTTACTCCTTAACCATGTGTTGAAAAAATTGGGGATGTCAGGCAGTTGGCATAATGGCTGTTGCTGGACTCCCGTGCAGTCGACTGCGGTTTGAGTCCCAGACTCAGTGGCTTGAACTCTTGCTGGGTGTGTGTGCATGTGTGCCCCAGATCCTGAGAGGAGAATGGAGGAGAAGGGATTGTGGCATGGCCATCCCCCTGGGAGATGATTTCTCGCTTTCTGTCTCTGTCTTTCTGGCGAGCACACATGCCCTACAGCAAAAACCTCTTAGGAAAAAAAAGTTTAATTTGGGATGTCAATTGTTAATAAAACAAATATTTTTTTACCAAAAGACTTATCAGTAAAGGTTAATCTATCAGAAATCTCTTTTCTAGGTTTAGAAAATTGAACTTTTAGTACTTTGAATTATTTAAGGGAAGATTGTCCAAGGCTTTCACAGTAACCTTACATTTTGTCTTTGGTTTATATAATCACTGTTTGATACTAAGTCTAAAGCTTAGTTAATACGCTTATCTTAAGTTCCAATCTGAATTTTGTCACTATTTAAAAGGTAAACAGCTTTATTAAAAATGTATCTGAGGGGCCAGCAGATGGCGTGGTGGTTAAGGGTGTTGGACTCCCACATGGCTAACCACAGTTCAAGTCCCAAACCTGGTGGCTTGCATTCTCACTCCACCCCCCACTCTGTCATCAAATTTAAATAAGTAAATAAAGTTTTAAAAAATTATTTAAAAAATATATCTGATTTTTCTTGAGTGCATTAATATTCTATATTTTTAAGCTTAAAAAATATAGGTGTGAATAGAGTTCTACAGATAGATGGTGGTGATGTTAGCAAAACAGTGTGAAAGCATTTAATATATACTTAAAATTGGTTAAGATGATACATTTTCTGTTATATGTATTTTACCACAATTCAAAAAAAAAAGTATGTGTCGTTTACTAGGTGGTGTGATTCATACTGAAACTTGGGTGTTTAATTTTGTTAAATTATATAAGCAGTAGATTCTGAGAAAATTATCTTGTCATAAAAAAAAAAATAAACTTCCTGAAAATCAATGTGATTTTATGTAATAGATCCCTGCAGTAAATATTTTTAAATGAATTTGTAGGGTCAAAACTAATGCTTGAGCAGATTGTCTAAAACAAACTAGACTAGCTAAGAAACAGAGTAGGGTATGATATGAGGTACTCAACTCCCCGTCAGCATCATTACAGATCAAATTCCCACATCAAATGAGAGGTTATATTAAAACAGACATCTTGGGGCCAGCTGGTGACTTGGTGATTAAGGTGGCTAGATCCCACATGGTCAACTTCATGGCTGAGGTCCCAGACCTGGTGGCTTAAGAAACATGCTGGGTATGTGGGCTTGCGTGCCCAGACTCCCGAAAGGAGGGAGAAATGAGGGTATGGCAGCATGGCCATTCTCCATGGAGGGTGACTCCTCTTCCTCTCTCCTCACTTTCTCTTCCTGTCACAGGTGAGTGCATGTGCCTTCTGACAAATTTTAAAAATAATTTTAAAAATTTAAATGATGTATATAACTTTTCATTTCCCAGTTCAGCAGTTTAGTGCATTAAGTGTTAATAACCAGGCATAATATATAAGAGCAGAAACTCTTAAAAGTCTAATGTCATGTGTATGTACAGGACATTTCTGTGGGTTACTTCTGAGGGGCAGGTAGTTTAAATAAATTGTATAAATTCTCACAGCTAATGTTGGGCACATTTAGAATCATAATCCCCTGACTTCCATCCCAGCACTCCTCCAAATATCACAGTACTTCTCAGTCTGATATCTACATTAGCTTAAAGTAAAAGCCTTCTAAAACCATCGTTAGGGTATTGCCAATCAAGAGCTCAACTGGGGGGCTGGCTTCTAAGTGAATAGATGGTAACTGTGGAAAGCAGTAAGAGAAGGAGTCTTGAGTTTCCTATGGATGGACGTTAGACCATCTTGGCCATCTGTATGAATTCCCTTCTTGGGGCAATCCCTCACCTTATTAAACAGAACCTGCTCCCCACTATAGAAGTTAAAAATGTCATGCTCTCTGGCCCAGCTGTGGTGATGCAAGTGGTAGGGTGCTGCTATGTGAAACGAGCCACAGGGAAAGCCAGGGTTTACATCTAGGGTTGAACTGGATGTGCCAAGCATGCCCACATGCACCCATGATCCCAGCTGGCTAGGAGGCTGGGGGAAGGATCCCAGATGGCAAGATCCTGTGAGGGATCTCTCTCTCTCTCTCTCTCTCTCTCTCACTCACTCACACACACTACATAAATAAACAAACATTTACTTATTAAAATTTTGCCATTGGGCATGTTCCCTCATCAGAGAGAGTGGGAGACAGAGAAGGGAGAGGCAAGATAGCAATTCCCATTGAGAATGGTCACCACAATGACTTTTCCGCCCTCTCTCCTTCTGGCATTTTGGGCACGCATGCACATGCACCTGGCGCGTTTCTCAAGCCTACCTAATATATTTAACCTATCCCCATCTTCTTAAACTAGTCACAATTGTCTTCTATTCTTGAAACTAAGAACTCTGATAGCTACAGCAGATGAACAATCTGTCCATAATACTCTCCTATCATATGGGGGCCAGCAGGTCATGTGGTGGTTAAGGGTGCTGAACTTCCATGTGGCTGACTGAGGTTTGAATCCCGGACCTGCCAGCTTGCTTTCTCACTTTCTCTCTATATCCCTACCTGGTCAAATAGAAATTAATTAATTAATTAAAGTTAAATAAAACAATTCTTAAAACTTTTTATTAAAAATAATGCTCTCTCTCTCTCAGGGCTAGCAGGTGGTGTGATAGTTGGGGCTCTGGACCCCTACCTGGCTGACTGTGGTTCAAGTCCCAGACCTGATGGCTTGCTTTCTCACTTTCTCTCTCCCTCTCTCTGCCTCTCTGTCAAATTTAAAGAAGATAAATGATAGTAACAAATAAAATTAAATAAATAAATTTTAAAAAAATGCTCTCCCCTCACAATTACAGTGAACCGTTAGAGGTTAACACTTCTCTCCATGGTGGTAAGTAGATGGTCTCTCTGACTTCAAAACTTCTCTTACCGGGGTTCTATAAAGAAAACACAGGTGGAATGACACAGGTGAGAACATTCCATCACCGGGGTAACCTGACAGTGGGCCGATCCACACCAGTGGACTTCAAGTAGGCTTTCGGTTATGGTATGTTGAAGGTAATACATAATAACTACAATATATTTGGATTTTAATTTAATTTATAATAGTTAAACACACTAACAGAAACAGTTCTATATCTTTGCTTTGTATACAGTCAGTTATTATTGTGGTAGTTGTGTTCTATAACATTGCTGCCAACCCTGAACTGCTGCACCTAGTAAAAATACAGGTTTAGTTCCTGCCAGCCTGTCTACCCTACACATGTGCTTAATATTTTCAAAGTTCTTTTCAAAGTCATAGGTTATGTAAGTTAGTTAGCTCCACTCAAGAAAATGTAAAACTGGGTAACTTAACCATGCTAGTGGGACTGCTTCTATGTTATGGACAGGGCTGGTTTCACAGATGTGTGACCAGACCATTCCCACAGAGCCTGGAACTCAGAAGGGCCCCATGCTTAGCTTAATGCTGTGCTGTCACTCTCTTGAAAGTCTCAGTTGGTTTTTGTTTGTTTTCTTTTCTTTTTTTCTCTTTTAGAGAGATTTTTGCTATGGGGAATGTTCCCTTGCCAGGTAGTCAGAGAGAGACAGAGAGACAGAAAGCAAGAAATCATCCCCTCAGGGGATGGCCATGCCGCAACCCCTTCTCCTCCATTCTCCTCTCAGGATTTTGGGCATGCACGCACACACACCCAGCATGAGTTTCAAGCTGCTAGGTCCAGGACTTGAACTGCTGTTGATTACATGGGAGTCCAGCAAAGCAACCATTATGTTATCTGCTGGGCTCAATAAAAAGTTCTTTAAAAAAAAAATTACAATAAATGTACAAAAATTACAATTAAAAAATTACAAAAAAATTAAAATAAGGGTCATTTTTGGGTGTGTTGTGTATTATCTTTTATTTCTGAGTAAATATTACTGGGTTATACTTTTTTTTAAATTTTATTTTGAGAGGTTTTTCTTTAGGGCATGTGCAGTTTCCAGAAAGACAGAGAGAGACAGAGCAATAGAAAGCTAGAAATCACCCCCCAGGGGGATGGCCATGCCACAATCCCTTCTCCTCCATTTTCCTCTCGGGATCTTGGGCACACATGTACATGTGCCCGGTGTGAGTTTAAGCCACTGGGTCTGGGACTCAAACCAGTTGACTACATGGGAGTCCAGCAACATAGCCATTACACCAACTGCTGATGCCAGGGGTTATACTTTTTAAAACATCAATGAATGAACTGTTTTTGCTAGGCTCCTCCAATGGAGGAGCTCAAACTCAAGGGTTATTTTAAAAGAATGGTTCCACACTCAAGGATTTCCCAAGGAAAAGTCCTCAAAAGCAAAATCTTCCTAAGTACTTAACCAAACTTACACATTTTTTTAAAAGAGATTTTTTATATAGGGTGCATGTGCTAGCAAGAGAGACAGAGAAAGAAAGTGAGAAATCACCCATTGGAGGAAGGCCATGCTGCAGTCCTTTCTTCTCTGTTCTCCTCCTGGACTTGGGCACACACGCACATGCACCCGGCATGAGCTTGAAGCTACTGGGTCCAGGACTCAGACCACGGTTGATCATGTTGAAGTCCAGTGATATAACCTCCTCACCATCTAATGGCACCCCAAACTTACACATTTTTAAAATATATGTTCTACCATAGCCAATTTTTCCTGCAGTCCTTTCTTCTCTGTTCTCCTCCTGGACTTGGGCACACACGCACATGCACCCGGCATGAGCTTGAAGCTACTGGGTCCAGGACTCAGACCACGGTTGATCATGTTGAAGTCCAGTGATATAACCTCCTCACCATCTAATGGCACCCCAAACTTACACATTTTTAAAATATATGTTCTACCATAGCCAATTTTATGTCTTTTTCTGTACTTTTTATAATAAATCCCTTTGATTATTTACTGGAAAGCAACACCCGAAATCTTAATGTTGGTTGTCTCTAGAGTAGTTTTAACTCTTCTACCTTATGCTTTTCTATAGTTTCTTAGTTTTCTGCAACAAATATGCATTATTTTTATAACCAGAAGAAATAATGAATGTTCCTAAAAGCAAGAACCAAGGCATAGCCTTCTTCTCAAAACCAAAATGTATTATCTTACTATATCCCTTTTATGAACTTCTTTTCCCCTGTAGAAAACCTGAAAAACTAAACAGACATTAGGAAATAAGAATTAAAGCGTAGGGTGATGTGGTGGTGAGAGGTGCCATTATTTTGCAGAAGGATAAAGAGGAACTAGGAAATATGATTGTGAATATTGGCTTCTATGTCAAGCAGGCAACTGCCAGTATTTTTTTCATTTGTTTGCAGGACGGCAAGAATCATTTGACAATTGAGTTGTTCGCATAATGGCATCTATAACCAAAACCAATGAAATAATAAAAAATCTAAGCGGGAACAAGCAACGTCTCCTGGAGGAGATAAACAAAAGGCGTGAATCCAACTGCTTAGTGGAAAGAAGCAATCAAGTCAGTTTATTGAGAGTTCAAAAGAGGCATTTCAGTAGTGCCTGTAAGTCCTTTACTGACATCAAAGTCAAAGACCCTGTTCCAGACAGTGGCAGGAGTTCCTGGGTCGAACTGAATCTCCTTGTTCACACAGAGAAAAAACATTTTCCACCAAAAAGTAAGATATTATGGTAGGATTCTTACCCAATCTACAGGGGAACCTGGAGTGTTTTTCAGGCTGCTGGGTCTGGGACTCCAACCACAGAGTTGGCCACATGGGATCCACTACCTTAACCACCATGCCACATGCTGGCCTATTCTGAGTGCTTTAATAAGACTTGAAAATGTCAACAATAATACTTCTCTTCCTAATCTGTGTTTTGCTCAATTAAGAGATAGATGGAAGTAAAAATGTGGGCTTTGTTTTTTAAAAATCTATATTGGAGGAAATGACTTTTAAGTAGCCAAAAGGCCAACACACTCCTAAACAGAACTTACCCCAGCCCAAACCAAAATTCCAAGCCAGCAGCACTGGATTAAAACAGATGAGAGCACCTTCTGGCAGTCCAGCAGATGCAAGAGAGAATTCTTATGAGTAAATGGAACATTATTTCTAAGATCTAATGAACTTGTGGGGACCAGCAGGTGGTGTGGTGGTTAAGGCACTGAACACTCCCACGTGGCCGACTATGGTTTGAGTCCTGAACCTGGTGGCTTGCTTTCTCGCTTACTCTCTGTCTCTCTTTCTCTCTCTCTCTGTGTGTTTCTCTCTGGCCAATTAAAATAAATGAATAAATAAAATTAAGTAAATAATTCTTTAAAAAAAAATCGAATGAACTTGTTAACCTGATACAAATACGAATTGCATCAAATGGCAAACCACTCTCTATAAAACTGCATCCTCTTTAAGATGGTCCCTTTTTATGTCCTCTGAATGTTGATGAACATCAATGTTCAAAACTAGGCCATCTTCTAATTTTCTAGGTGATCTCTATCTAAGCTGGCAGGACTTAGCCTTAGACTTAAAATATCATCTCTACTCTAATGACTCCCACATTTCTATTTCTGGCCTTGACCTCTCTCCCGAATGCCAGACCTGTGTATCGAGTTGCACTTACCAGATTAACCTCTCCTTGATGTCTCAAGTTTTCCATTGCTGGCCCAGCTCCGTGGTGTGATGCTAGATGCTAAGATGCTGTGTTCTACATGGGGCCACATGGGGCCACATGGGAGGTCTGGGTTTGATTCCTGTTCCAACCTAAAGCTGGCGGTGGAGGCATGTACCTGTAACTCTCGTACCTTGGGAGGCTAAGACAAGAGGACTGCAGCATAGCGAGATCCTATCTTCAAATTAAGAAAAGAGAGAGAGAAGTAAAAACTTAACCACGGCTAAAATAGAATTCCTCTTCTTCACCCTGCCCATCTTCCTTATCTCAGAAAATGACCAAAGATCTAAGGAGGGCTTTTGACTACACTTTTCCCCTAACATCCCACATCCAATCTGTCAGCCAATTCTGACAACTCTTCCTTCAAAAAGCAGTCCTGAGTCTGAGCACTACTACCACCTGATCTGATCCATGGCCATCTCTCGGGAAGTACAACAGGGGCCTCCCACCCATTTCCCAGATTGCACTCCCACTGCCCTCCACACTTGCTTCATCACACAACCTAAGTGATCCTTTTTTTTTTTAAAGTTTATTTATTGTATTCAATGACAGAGAGCCATGCACACACACAAAAGAGAAAAAGAAAAGGGGATCCTCGAAAGGCTCTTACCACGCTGTGTTCCCCTTTCCCCAGCCCTCCAGCTCCCCAAGATCTTAGACACATGTGCATATACCCAGAGTGTTTTCAGGCTGGCCCACGGATCCAAACCTGCAGTAAGCCCTGTGGCTTCCAGCCCTGCAGTTCAGGTTGCTACAGACTGCATAACCAAGCTGACCCCTAAAGGATCTTTTAAAAATATAGATACAGGGACCAGCAGTTAGCGTAATGGCTATGTCGCTGGATTCCCACGTAGTCGACCGCGGTTCGCGTCCCGGACCCCGTGGTTTAAAATTCACGCCGGGCGCATGTGTGTGCGTGCCCAAGATCCCAAAAGGAGAATGGAGGAGAAGGGACTGCGGTGTGGCCATCCCCCCTGGGGGGTGATTTCTCACTTTCTGTCTCTATGTCTCTGTCTGTCTGGCGAATGCACACGCCCTATAGCAAAAACCTCTCCAAAAATAAATATATAGATAGATACAATATGTCGCCTGTGACTAGACATTCACCTATGGTTTTATATTACACTTAGGATAAAATCCGCTCTCTTTACACTGTGCTTAAAGGCCTTTCAGGAACAGTCCCAGCCTTTTTTTTTTTTTAATTGTATGCATTAACCAGAGAAAGGGAGACAGACAGAGGGAGAAAGCACCCCTCAATGGAGCATGGTCATGCCACACTCCCTTCTCTCCATTTCTCCATCCCGTCAGGATTTTTGGACACATATATACACATGCTTGGTGTGTTTTCCAAGTCCCAAGACCTGGGACTCAAACCGCAGTCAGCCATGTAAGATCCAGCTCCCTCAACCACTAGGTGATGAGACTGGCCCCAGGCTATCTGGCCTCATACTTTCTTCCTGTTCCTGAGACTTATCAAAGTGGTTCTCACTTCAGAGACTTGGAGCATGCTGTTCTCTCTGCCTGGATCTTTCTCTCTCTCTCTTTCTCTTTCCAGATCTTTGTTCAAAGTCAATTCATCGGAAATTACCCTATCTAAATAGCAACCTTTAATACTCTAAAAACTCCTGACAACTTTCTTTATCCCTGTGTTATCAATCCCTAACACAAAGCTCCTTCTAAGTTTTTTCACTGCTTTATCTCCAGTTCCCAGAATGGCACGAATGAAGCATTCAGGAAGTGTTTGTTGACTGACTGAATACATATTGGGCCACAGAATATATTTTCTCAGAATTAGCCGTAGATCTTACCTTGTACCTCTTGAGACCAACAGCCATGCACTTGGGAGGTGGCTCCATGCCAACTCCAGCTACAGTATACTCTTTAGAAATGCAAGAGGCCAGGGACCAGCAGATGGCTAAAGTTTACATCACTGGACTCCCATGTAGTCAACTGAGGTTGAAGTCTTGGACCCAACAGGTTAAAATTCATTCTGGGCACGTGTGCGTGTGTGCCCAAGATCCCAGGAGGAAAATGGAGGAGACGGGATTGCGGCATGGCCATTCCCCCCGGGGAGTGATTTCTCGCTTTCTGTCTCTCTGTCCTTCTTTGTCTCTGTAAAGAGTGCATATGTCCTGTAGCAAAAAATCTCTCTGGAGAGAGAAGAAATATAAGAGGATAAAAAGGTACATTTTGCTAAACATATATGATCAGAATTAGAAGGCATTCTAGCCTCTTCCTCTGGACACCTGTGTGAGGGGAAGAAACACTCCTTTACTCTTTATTCATTCATTTAACCAATATTACAAGCACCTACTTTATGTCAGGCACTATTCTCTCTCTCTCTTTTTCAAAGGTTTTGCCTTAAGATGTGTGCACTCACAAGAGAGACAGAGACAGCAAGAGGGAAAGTAAGAAATCACCCCTCTCGGGGACCAGCAGTTGACATAATGGCTATGTCGCTGGACTCCCATGTAGTTGACTGTGGTTTGAGTCCTAGACCCGGTGGCTTAAACTCACAGTAGGCACGTGTGCATGCATGCCCAAGATCCCCAGAGGAGAATGGAGGAGAAGGGATTGCGGTGTGGCCATCCCCCCGGGGGTCAATTTCTCACTTTCTATCTCTCTGTATCTCTCTGTCTTTCTGGCGAGCACACGTGCCTTACAGCAAAACAAACCGAAGAAAAACAAAAACATGAAAAACAAAAAAACAAACTCTCCAAAAGAAATCAACACCCCCCCCCTTGGGGAGTATGATCACGGCACAATTCCTTCTCCTCTATTCTCCTCCCAGGATCTTGGGCATGCATGCACAGGTGCCTGGAGTGATTCTCAAGCTACCAGGTCCAGGACTTGAACTGCAGTTAGCCATGTGGGAGTCCAGTGACGTAACCATTACGCCAGCTGCTGGCCTCATCGGGCACTATTCGATGTGCTTGTCAAAACAGCAATAACAAAACCCCCATATCACAAAGCTTCAGTTTTATTCGGTAGAGTCCAGTAACAGGTTTAAAAAGTAGATAACAGATGTGAGACCATGATGAGTGGGTGAATGCTAGGGGGAAACATAAAGCAGGAGGGAGAGGTAGGAAGGACGGGTGGGCTGTGCCTTGTGGCCTTTAGAGCTACAAGGGGTTTGGTATCCAGGGCACAGACACTGGGCACAGACATGACCCAGGACCCCGGGGCTCCTGGTAGCCAGGGTAAACAAGGGTAGAGACAGAAGGAGGTGAGTTTTGATGGTCTAACGTGATGGTGAGGTCATGGGTGTGCAGAGGGAGGGAGGTTAGGAATGTTGCTAAGAGCTATTGGAGTTCTGGAGCTCCTTTTTGCTTGTGTCAATGGAGAAGTGAAGACCAGACAAGGAGCTTTCTTAGGCAGATAACTCCGAGCTCTCTCTTCATTCTACCACTTGGAGACATGAGGCCAAACAAGGGTTGTGTTACTTAAATACAGTACATAGCCCTAAAAATGGAAGACTTAGGTTCAAATTCTACTTTTACCATTGATTAGTCTCAAGTATTTAGGCACTAAGAGTTTTTAAAACTTAATGTTTGTGTCTATAAAACAGTATTTATCCTTTCTTCACTCCAGAGTTACTTTGAAACCATAAAATGTATTGTATGTTATGTAACAAATACTTTTTATTTTTCAGATAATGCCATATTTGGATAAAGTACCTCTCAAGAGACCCATGGAAATATATTCTGTTTGATCCTTCTTCAATGCCTGTCTAAATTATTTACAAATATTAATTATAAAAGAAGCAAAACAGGGCCAGCTGGTGGTGTGGTGGTTAAGGCAGCTGGATCCCACATGGCCAATGGGACAGTTCGAGCCCCACACCTGATGACTTGAAAAACATGCCGAGTGTGTGTGCAGGCATACCCAAAATCCCTGGAAAAAAATGGAGAAGAGATTGTAGCATGGGCTTCCCCTTAGGGGGGTGATTTCTCACTTTCTCTCTCTCTCTCTCTCTCCCCCTCTGGTGAGTGCATGCACCCTCTAGCAGAACTAAAAAGAAAGAAAGAAAAAGAAGGAAGGAAAAAAAAGTATTCACTAGATCACTAAATAAACATTTTAGTAAATCACATAAAACATACATGTTCATGTATTCCATTCTATCATTTAGACTTAGATATTATAATGATTCGAGTTATTAAAGATAACTTCCTTTTGAGAGAGAGTTTTTTGCTATAGGGCATGTGTGTGTGCTAGAGAGACAGACAGGGAGACAGAAAGTGAGAAATCACCTCCCAGGGAGCACAGCCATGTCACAATCCCTTCTCCTCCACTCTCCTCTTGGGATTTTGGGCATTCATGCACATGTTCCCAGTGTGAGTTTCAAGCCACCAGGTCTGAGACTCAAAACTGCGGTCAACTTTGTGGGAGTTCAGCGATACAACTACCACACCACCTGCAGGTCCCAAAGCCAACTTTCAGAGATGAACAAACTAAGAAGTTTATAGTGATAGTCTCTTTGCAGACCTAAGAGGTTGACACAGTTGATATCTGTTTCTGTGAAGCAGTGGACTGTGTTGTCTAACCCCAGTCATGAGGCTAAAGGCAAAAGTTGCTCAAAGTTGACAGTTGCCTCTAAAGGCTTCACTTCGTTAACTGCTCTGTTAGCCTCCGTCCTGATGATCTGAGTAAGTACACACTGGAGTAACATAAGGTGCCTTCAGGAGAGCTCTTGGTGCTATTTCTTTGCCATCCCCCAAGTGAGCATTGCTAGAACCATCTCATAAGCAAATCCTATTTGTCTAACATCCCCTCTGTCTCACTGCTTCCTGGATAGCAGTCCTGTCACCTTTCACCTTGAGTCATGCTCTTTCTTTCTTGTTAATAGCCTCATATGGCAAGCAAAGTGTTGCTTGACCTAGAACCAGACACCTCTGAGCATTTTTCTTTGCACCATTAAATATTCACCCACTATTTGGTTGCCTTCTGCCTCCATAGAAGGCTCAGATTCATGGAAAACCAAAGTTTCCTGAGGCCAGGTGGTGATGCTGCGGTAAAGTGCAGTGCTCTGTGAGGCTGACCCATATGGGAAGGTTCTCAGATCGCACCTGCAGACCTTCCTGGGTACAAGAGCTGAGAACAAGGATGTATCATGACAAGACCCTGTTGGAGGTTCGCTCTCTCTCTCACAAGAGATGAATGGATAAACTTTAAAAAAAAAATTCAAAGCATTCTGATATATAAAAATGTATTTTAAAAAGTATCTTATACAGGGACCAGCAGTTAGTGTAATGGCTATGTCACTGAACTCCCATGTAGTCGACCACAGTTCGAGTCCCGGACCTGGTGGCTTAAACTCATGCCAGACGCGTGTGCATGTGTGCCCAAGATCCCAAGAGGAGAATGGAGAAGGGATTGCAGCATGGCCATCTCCCCTGGGGGGTGATTTCTCACTTTCTGTCTCTCTCTGTCTCTCTGGTGAGCACAAGTATCTTATACAAAAGACAAAACAGAGCTAGACCTGAGTCAGTAGGTAGCATAGTGGTTAAGGTGTTGGACTCTCATGTAGCTGACCATCAAAGTCCTGGACCCGGAGGCTTGAAACTCATGTCAGGCACATGTGTGTGCATGCCCAAAAGTTCAGAGGAGAATGGAGGAAAAGGAATTGCAGTGTGGCCATCCCCCCTGCGGGATGATTTCTTACTTTCTGTCTCTCTCTGTCTGTCTGGCGAGCGCATGCGCCCTATAGCAAAAATCTCTCCAAAAAAAACCAGACATAACACTAATCTTTTGCTTCCCAAAAGGAAAATACCTAGTTGTTTTTGTTTTTTCAAATACCTAGTTATAACAACTGTGAAGGCATGACCCTACAGAGTTTCATGGGCACTGACGAGAAAAACTGAGACTCCTGATTCAGAGACGAAGATCTTAATTATTTAGTGCACTGCAAGCAGCACAAGCCTCAACCTGGTTCCCCTTGTCCACCCTCACTCTCCAAGACCCACAGGTCAATGTGAAGCTGTCCAGGTAGATACCACACACACAGGTCCTGTCTACAGCTGAGGAATCTCAAGTTCAAGAAACCCAACCTTTGCCTAGAGGGAGACATTATCTTTATTATACCAGATAGTAAGATAATCTGCCCTCTCCTCCAGAGAGAGACAGGATCTTTATTTTCCAAAGAGACCATCTGGAAGAAAGGTTATTGGTGTCTATGCTCCCTAGATGTGCAGAAATATGAGTGACTTAGGGGCCAGCAGGTGGCATGGTGGTTAAGGTGCTGGACTCTCATATTGCTGGCCTCAGTTTGAGTCCTAGACCTGGTGGCTTACTTTCTCACTTTCCAGAACCAGCAGTTGGCATAATGGCTATGTCACTGGACTCCCATGTAGTCAACCATAGTTGGAGTTCTGGACCTGGTGGCTTAAACTCAGGCCAGGTCCATGTGCGTGCGTGCCCAAGATCCCAAGAGGAGAATGGAGGAGAAGGGATTGTGGCATGGCCATCCCCCCGGGGGGTGATTTCTGGCTTTCTGTCTCTCTGTCTCTCTCTTGTCTTTCTGGTGAGCACATGCACCCTATAGCAAAAACCTCTAAAAAAAATTAATTAAAAAATAAATTAATTAAAAATAAAAAAATAAAAATAAACTTTCTCGTTTTCCCTTTCTCTCTCTGGTCAAATTAAAAAATAATAACATATTAAGTTGAATAAATAAGTAAAAAAGAAAAGAAAAGAAAGAAGTGTGAGTGACCTATGGAGCATTATCTCCCAACAGCTAGCTGTCCGGATAAAGACAATGAGTCATTTACACAGCTAGGTGTTGGGAGATAATGCTCCACAGGTCACTGTATCATTTCCTGGGCTCAATTCAAGGCAAACTACAGAAGATAAACACAAAGTAAATGAGTGTCAGATCTTGCACAACACAGTTAACAACCCCCCCCACACACACACCTCAATGCTCTAGAACCCCATCTGACCTCCTCTCCTTGCACCTCTGGCTTTTTGGAGCTATTTGTGGGTTTCTGAAGTTGTCTTATTCCACTGTTATCCCTTCACTTAACTTCAATTTGTTGCCAGATTTGGTTAAATGCCACCATCACCTGAAAGCCTTCCGCTGCATAAGCATTTATTTCTACTTTGTCTTCCTCTATACACCCTGCAATGGCCTTGGGCTAAAACCAGAAACTCCCAAGTCACAAAAGAACATCAAATTTTGGACTCTGACCCTCCCCCCAAATGACAGGAAGTCCAGCCATGCCTGCTACTCAATCCCAGGAGTGTTTTATACTTTTTGACCTCAGTAAACACTTGGTAAAAGATCTTTTGTACCTTATCTTCCCTGGCTTCTTACAAAGCTGTCTGCAGGTGAACTTCCTAGTCAAGCTCCCTACTGCATGAACAGAAAGCCTTCCTGTGGCAGCCTTAGTACTCTAGGAAAGAATTCCATGAGGCCCACTGTGGATTGCCAATGCCTCTTCCCTGAGAGGTCCTGCAGGACTCAGTGAGGTGCTTCATCCCTGTCATTCCTGTCATCCCTGTCTGGGTGCTGCAATGTGTCCAAGGGAAGGGGCCGTTGATTAAACAAGTCCAATATCACCTCACACCTTTGCCACTAAGGGCAGTCAGTTTCTCAAAAGTGAAGTTTTCCTGCCCGTGGCCCTGATTCCTGCTCCTACCTCCGTCTGGGAGGCTTCTTCCCCGTTGTTCTCAGTTCTGACTCCTTCTCACCTTCCTGATCTCAGATACCAACTATTCAGGGTCCCGTACAGACCAACACATCTAAAAGTAGAGTGGACTCTGCTGTGCACATGTGCTCGTGTTTTGCTCAACAGTGGGTGTATGTTTCGAGAAGCACTTCACTGGATGACTCCATTGTTTGGCCATCATAGAAGGGACGTACATAAACCTAGATGGTGGAGCCTACTACATGCCACGTTGCATGGAATAGCCCATTGCTTCTAGGCTGCAAACCTGTGCAGCATGTTACTGTGCTGAATACCGTAGGCTAAACTTCATAAGCAGATGAGACAAGTGTGGATAGATCAGCCCCAGATTTGATGTTTAACTCAAAAGTCTAGAAAAAAATGGCAGAATAATCCACGTGCAACTAAAAAGTCTAGAAAAAAATGGCAGAATAATCCACGCCCATCCTGTCCATTCAGTCTTATTATACAAGGTGACTTCAGGTGGACCAAGTAGAAGCAAGCCACAAACACATAGGAGGGAAAACCCTGGGACTTTTGTGTGTGTGTGTCTGGGAATGTAATAAATACACTCAAATGCCTCAGTGTGGGGAAAAGTACACATTGGAGAATTCTGATTTCCAACCTTCTCCTCCACCCTCCGTTCCCAGCTTGATTTCTACGCAGAGCAGAACAACATAGCCTCTGCTGCTAGGGTGGATGAGGCAGATCACAGTGGGTGCAAGCTGACGGCGAGGCTGCCAGAATCTACTGATCTTCTCATGCAGCATCACGAGTGTGCCTCTGATAGCATCGTTCTGGTTTGTATTTTACCCTCTAAAGCTCTTAGCCTGTAGGAAACCTTTGCTCAGGAATAGCCACATCACTCCTAATAATATCTTGGACCTTGGCACCTGGATGCTGTTCAAATCTCCTATCACTGAAGTGTTATTCAGATCTCCCTGATTTGGCATTCCACACCCACAACAAAGCTCAATCTCATATTGACCGGCAGCCAAGTGATGCAGCCAGGAATGTCTTTTCTGACAGAGGTTAAGGTCCATGTTACATTATGCATCCAAACATTCCATGTGAAGTATGACTCATGACTAAAC